GTGGTCTGTAACCGTAACCATTAGGGTACCGTGGGTTCGTCGCGCTCGACGGCGACATTGCGCCCTGCACGTGTCCGCTCGATGCGGGACGCACGTGTCACGTGTGTCCGCCCGAGGAAGCGCCATTCGGCGGGCACACACTGCGAGCGACTGGGATCAACGTCGGCGACGAGGACGACGGCGTCGTCCTGGATGGAGCCGGGAAGGGTGGCGACAAGTGCTTACACGACAAGTGCGTATCCCGCGCGCGCGCGCGCGGCAAAGTGCGACAAAAGTACGGAATGCACGGCCGTGTGAACCTCGCAACGAGTCGCCTCGAAAAAGGCGATGTCATCGAACTTGGGTTCTCGAGAGGGTCTGAGCGTTCAGTCGGCTGACACATCTCTGTGTCCCCCTTCACCCCTTGGAATAGCACGAGGGGCCATTTCCTTGGTCGCGTGAGATATTGTAAATCGCGGACAGGCAGCGTAATCTGACGGAGAGTTTAGCGCGGGATCGCCTCGCGGTGTCACTGGATCGGGTGCAGAATGCGATTGTAGCCCGATATCGGGGAATATACGAGGGAAAAGTACGCGGTTTCCATGGCGTGTAACGACGTGATAATTAACAAACAGATGTTATATTTTCCGCGATGCTAGATTTCAATAACATATTCCGCGGCTGGGAGAATTACCGCGTCGTTAGAATAAAATTAACGACGTAATCAGATTTATATACCTACAGAGCGTGCGTTCGCAATAGAATAGAATATAATTAACGAGCACGCGAGTAATATTCATTAATACGAAATTAACGGGCGCCCTAAGAAAACAAGGTGCTGGCGCAACGCCATAATTATCTCGTCATTATATGCAGATAGCTTTTAGCGCCGCATATCAGTCGCCCGAATATTATTTCCCACGCCCGCGATTGGCAGTCCCCGTGCGATTAGCCGGTAACACGAGTAGTCAGGGACATAAAAAAGGTGTCCGTGGTGATCGTCGCCATGCGTCGAGCGCATTCGGACGTTGGAATTTAGTCGTAACACGCGACTTACATCAATTACACGGGAGGAAGACCTGTGCCGTCTGGCGCTCTCCGCCGCGAATTGAAATTCCCTTCGAAGCCTCTCGGATACGAATGCTTCGCAAATCATGGCCGCGTCTAGCGCGCCTGGGTATCGGCACGAACGTGCCGGGCAAGCCGCATGCCCCCGTCGCCTCGATTCTTTCACCCCGGCCTGCGTTTCTTCCTCGCTGCCCGTGGTACGCCCGGGCCAGAACGGGGCAATTCGGAAGCGGGACGCGCGACGCCGTTATCGCCGTCGAATCGGCCGAGTTCTCTCACGGAGCGCGTACGTGCGCCGGATCCGCTCGGGAGTCCTCACGGCTCCGTTTTCGGTTGCGAACGGGTAGGCACGGGGTGTCCAGGAGTCCCCGTGCACGATGGAATGTCGCGTGCGCGGGAGCTCGAGCCGCGCCGATCTACGACTGTGTCACGTTAGGCAGGGGGATAGGAAGACGCGAGAGGGGAAGAGAGGTACACAGCGGAGCGTACACGTCGTAGGAATACGAAAATCGACGGTCGATCGGCCGCCCGAGAGCGCCTGTGTTTCCTATGCGCGCGAGTAATAAGACCAGATATTCCCACACGGGCCCCGCAAGCCGGGGCCCGCCCTTCCGCCCGCCCGCCGTGGGAAACTCATACGTGAGTCGATGCTCGACCATCCACCCCGCGAAATCCAGCCTCGAGAGGCCTCCGAGCTCCTCTCGCCGGCGCAGGTGCGATTCGATTAGCAGCCTATATTTCGGCGCGCCGGTATTTTTCAGCGCCGCAGCTGGGACGCGCGCCGCGCGCGCATTTGTCACGCGTTGGACGCGAGGAGGGATGGTCCCCCGCCGTATTTTAATTGGACCGATCGCTTACTTTAATCCTTTTCGGTGCGAAGACGCCATCGCGCTCTCGCGTCCCGTTTTAACAAGGCACACCGGTCCCCACAATCGCCGATTGCGCGAGCATGTCGTCGCGACACGGAGACGGTAAACACCCCCGACGAGATTAGCGCGACGCATCGTATGTCCACTCTTTAAAGTTTCTCGAGTGGAAGTAGAACCACGGAGCAAAATATTCGCTCTAATAGAGTAAATGTTTGCTCTGATAGAGCCGACATTTCACTCCATGGTTCTATTTTCGCCCCGAAACTATAGAGAATACTTGAATCAGAATCTGGGCTCCCCTACTGTCAGCCTCATCGTAACAGACTGACTCGTAATCGTTTTTCTAGATCGACCTTAAATTGTCAACGTTCTGTTAATTTACAAAATAAAGAAGCAGAGTCGAAAATTCATTAAGCAAGTTTAGACAACGTTGACTAAAAACGAAATCCGTTGCCAATAAAATTGAAAGAGATCACAGTTTTCCAGAGCGATAAGATCCTCCATAGGAGTAGAGGCTCCGATTTTACTGACCGACCATTTATTTCACTCCGTGGTTCTATTTTCGCCCCGAAACTTTAGAGAATACTTGAACCAGCATCTTGGCTCCCTTAGGGCCAGTTTCACAAACATTGGTTTAACTGCTAACCGAAGGTTAATTGATTCTCTGTCTCTGCTTAAATAATAAGACGGAAAAAGATAGGAAGTCGACTGAACCCTAGTTGACCGATGTTTGTGAAACTGGTCCTTAATGGTCAGCTTCGCTGCCCACGTTAGCGTCATCGTAACAGGCTGACTCGTAATCGTTTTTTCTAGATCTAGGCTTAAATCGTCAACGTTTTGTTAATTTGTAAAATAAAGAGGCAGAGTCGAAAATTCATTAAGCGAGTTTGGACGACGTTGATTAAAAAACGGTATCCGTCGCCAATAAAATTGAAAGAGATCACAGGTTTCCCAGAGCGATAAGATCCTCCATGGGAATGGACGCTCCGATTTTACTGACCGACGATGCGTTATGTGTAACATTACGACAGTTATTGTCATCGTGCATGACGGATTACAGTCGATCGTCGTGTTGCGGGCTTCGCGCGTGTGTACGGACGCACGACGGCGCGGCGGAAGGAAGGACGCCCAAGGTAGGGCTGCACAGTATCGGAGGTGAATCTGAGCTGCGATCGGGGCAGCGGAGGTGCAGGTGCCTCTAGAAACCGGCGACGAACAGTAGGGACGGGGACATGGGAGGGGCGTAAAGGAAGCGGAGGCAAACGGGTCGGGGCCCTGCACGCGCCTCTGACGCGCCGATGCCACCGATATCTTCTTCTTAAACTTTCCTATCCGCTCATTCATGCCCAACTAAATGCCTATAATTTCGGGTATGATTACAGGGCACCGTAACCAACGCCCCGTGGATTCGTGGTGCCCCGCCGAGGGAAGGAGGGGGAGAGGGGGAGAGAGAGAGAGAGAGAACGAGAAAAGGACAGGGAAAGGGCTCGTTATGCAAGGGGGCCCTACGAAATTGAAACGGAACGAGCGTCCCTCGGTCGTTTGAAGACGATTCTTCCCCTGCGTCGACCCGCGCGGGAAACGTATACGTACGCAACATATAAATCCCCCTCCCCCTCGTCCCCCGAACCAATCGGACCGATGACAGGTGGAGCCGCGTGATTATTACTAATTTGCTGTAGGCTTAAACAAACAGAGAATATCGCCACGACTATCCAGGTGCTCTCTACTTCGGTGCAGCCCCACTGGAATGTTGCCGAGCTCTCGCGGCTCGGGACCGCTTCGGCTTCTCGCGAGACCCCTCAATTCGGTCCCTTAATTGCGGCCCAATATACGGGGTGTCCGAGATACAGTTGGCGCATTTGAGAATAAATCTCTCGCGCTCGTCTAACGGAATCGGACGCTAGGCGCGTGATTACGTAAAGAGGCCCTTCGTAGACCGCCGTGTGCGAGCCCCGAGTCGCCGTTCCTGAATTATACATATTACCTCGTATTCCTGGAAGCTGAGGAAACGCGTTGACGGAAGAAATACGAGTCTGAGGCAGCACGCTCGCGCCGCTAAATTATTAAATCATACCATCAGCGGCAGAAATGCCACGGCGGTGGTCGCGAGATCGAGGGATAAAGATCCTCCGTTCGAGTAAATCAAAATAGCGCCCGATAATAACGATGTATCGTAATTGACGGAGGAAGTTACGGAAGCTGCGGGGACGATCGCCAGGAGCGGCGTAATTAAACGTACCCTTCCTCGATCCCCGTGTGTGACGTACGTGCCGCGGCCGTTTTCACGGAATGAAATCGGCGCGCCTCGCTGTATCATTATGATAATCATTTCCACACCGGAATCTCCGGCGGGATTTCATGAAAAAGAGCTACCCGGCGCAAAATGCGATGCGGCGCGTGACCCTCCGGCCGTGCCGGGTAAACGGGCTCTTCGGGGTGTTCCGGGGCGCCAATAAAACAAGTTTCGCGCGTGAAATGACAGACCTCGGCCGTACAAATACCGAAATTGTCGGGGGCTCGCGCGTTTAAGCGAAGGAGGGTATGGTTACTCGCGCACGGAGCAGCCGTTGTCAGGCCGGTCTCTGCGCTTTAACTCAACGTAAACTGCACGTAATTAATGAACTGTCTTATTGAACAAAAGATCGAGATGATTGTTCGCGCGCGCGCGCGGCCGCACAAATACCGAGATTGTCGGAGTCTCACGTGTTTAAGCGAAGGAGGGTATGATTACTCGCGCACGGAACAGCCGTTGTCAGGCCCGGGTCTGCGCTTTAACTCAACGTAAACTGCTCGTTATTAATAAACTGTCTTATTGAACAAAAGATCAAAACGATCGCTGGCGCGCGCGCGCGGCGATGAAAGGCGACTCGCTACTCCGATTCCGCTCGCGTCTCGCAACTTTGCCAGTAATCTCGCGGTCATCCCCGACGCGCGATGTGATATCTCGCGGCCGTCACGTGCTCCGCTCTTCCCGCGCTTTTCGTCCTCGCGAGCTCGTTCGACCCGCGACCCTTCGAACCCGAATTTCACAATTGGTCACGAGAGACGAAAGAGAAGAGAAAGAGAGAGAGAGAGCCTTACCTCTTGATGGTGGATCAAGAAGTCGGAGGCGGACGGTGGCGGGGGTGGTTCCGCGGCGGAGACCTCTTGGAGCAGTCCCACGTGGTCCCAGCAGTCCTCGGGCATGTCCATGGTCGGTCCTTCCTCCGTCCCTTCGCCTTCCGGACGGGTCCTCCCCCGGTGGAGAACGGGGCGAGCCGGGCACGCTGTCCCCCGCTCTTTTATGAATTTCTCCGGTACACACAGGCGCGGGGTACGCGACCGGGAAGGGAGGTACTATCGGGCACAGTCACTTTCGAAAAATCCAGTCACGTATCCCAGTCACAAGGATATCGGCGTGACAACACCGGGCGGCCGCCGGTGCAGCCACCGCCGGGAAGAGGAGAAGAAAAGAAGAGGAGACCCACGTACGTACGGTATTGTACGACGTAGCAGCGCACACCGATTCGCCGACGACGGGAGTCGACGTGTCGCGTGACCGCGTTCTCTGACGAACGGCAGCGGCGGCGGCGGCGGCGACGGCGGCGGCGACGACGACGACGACGGCGGCGTCGAGGACACGACGACGGCCGTCGGTGGTGGTCAGTCGGCGTGGAATGAAGTTCGCCCGCGGGTTAGGTTGGGTTAGCCAGCGAGCGGGAGTTGTGCAGCATCAGAGCGCGCGCGGCAAGAGAGACGAGAGAGGGTCGTCGATGTTGAGAGAGAGGGGGGAGAGGAGAATAGAGGGAGCAGGAGATAGAGAAAGAGAGACAGAGAGAGTGAGTGAGTGAGCGAACGAGAGGGTGAAAACGACGGCTGGTGGGGTGCGGAGAGAACGGGAGCGAGAGAGACAGAGAGGAAGAGAAGGAGAGAGCGAGAGAGAAGAAGAGAGAGAGGTGTAAGGCGTAAGTCTGCCCTAGTCGCTCGCTTAACCGTGCAGGAGGTGGCGCCAATATAAACCGTACCCCTCCTCCGAAGCCCCCCCGACAAAGAGCTTGCGTATAATACCTGTATGCGTCTGCTGGTAGACCATCCCGCCTACCAACTACCGTACTGCGGGGATTTGTGATCCGTGCCGCCGGTAATTATTGCGATTTCACTTATATGCCGACCCGCTTAACCCCGGGTTCCCTCCTCCGAGCCCTCCCCCCTCCCCCGCGCGTGTGCCCGCCGAGCTGACCGCGGGAATTCGACGAGACGCCCGAGTGCCAGGGTTCGAGGAGGATATTGGAACCGCCGCGAGGCCACCTTCTTCGCTGGTACGCCTCTTATCGTAGGAACGCACCGCGCTATTTATTTATTTCGCGAGCACGGACACGTCGCCGAGGGAACCTTCGAGGCTCGTCAGTCTGTTACGCTGATACGATGAATAATTGGCGCAGCCCGCTCGGCGAAGGCAACCGCGTGCGCGATAGGCAGGAGAAAATATCGCAATGCGTGAACACAGTATCCTCCACAAAATGTATAATGAGTGCGTTGCTCCCTCGTATCCGCGCCGATCGCCAACACTTTACACACGAGTTTACACGGGTGTCTCTCGGCGACGGCCGAGCGACGAGGAAAAAAGTGTATTAAGTTACATTTACGGGGAGGCGGACGAATGTACGCGCGGGACGCGAGCGCGATGTAATCGAGCGAACGAAGGGTTGGGACGCGATATGAGCGCGTTAATGCGTCGTTACTGACAGCGACACGATTCGTTCGACGGTACCTCCGCGATCCCTCCCTTCGCCGCGTTCGAGCCCTTCCATCGATTCAACCCCCGACGATCGTTCGGCTGTCCTCTTTTTCTTTTTTTTCCTCGCCCGCTTCCCTCGCTCGCATTTTAATTCCCCCCGTTGCTCCGACGCTGATTGACGCACGCTTAAAACGTTACTAATACTCGACACTTGTCAGTCGTTATCATCGCGCGGCGCAGTTCCATGCGGCGGCGCGGCTTGCCCGCGTCGGGCCCGATGATTGATGAAGTCGTATACAAACGTTTGTAATTTAGCAATCCGGTTCGAGCGCTCGCGCATCGATACTTTACTCGGCGATTCAATCTTAAACGACCGTTGCGCGGCAATTATCAAATATACCGCGGGACTACCGCGGAACGAAGCGCGCTACCTGAAATGCACGGTCGCGTCGTTTAAAATTTACCTTCGATAAACGTCAGTCAATAAAACGTGGAATCGCGTTGAGAGCTAATTCCGACGAGCGGAATTTCTGCGCGTACGCGCGGCGATTTTTAGAAACGCTCGATAGAGAGCCGGGGGATTGGGGTTGAAAATTGTCGCGGTGGCCCTCGGCGAGAGAGAGGTTCCAGGTTTCTTTTTTTTTCCGGCAGCGCGGCGAGACGAGGCAACCCGGGTCCCGACGCGCGTCTCTAATATAAGTAATCTGGCTCACGTGCAAACGATTTTTGTCGCGCGCCGAAGCCCGCCGGGCATAAAACAAGATTGCCATTAGCCGCGTCGGCGAGGCGCACTTTGTCCGGACCGCCGGTCTTCGACGATAAACGCGCTGCCGTTGGAGTGTTGGCCGAGTCCTCGACTTTGTGTGCACGCGCTGCCGAGGACGCCGGCAACGATGAGGACACGTCGGCCCCGGCTAGGTAGGCACCGCGATAATATGCACCGCCTATACCACTCGTGGCAGCCCGATTGCGAATCTTTGAAGTTCGCGATGGCTTCCGTCCGCCCGTCGGCAAACGCCGGCGCGAGACGGGATAGTAAAAGTCGCGCGCTAAACTGTGGGAAAGCCAAATATACGCGCGAGCCTCCCCTTTGAGAGAATCCTCGTTCGTTTTCTCAGCGTGCGTGCGTGCGTACGTGCGTGCGTGCGCGGTATATACGGGCGAGCACCTGTGACAACTTCTAATACCCCGGCTGGGGTAAACGGTAGGCTAGATCGTGCGGTCCGATAACTTCCGCGCTCGCTTCCTTCGCCAGCGAGGAGCGAGAGACGCCGCGGGTTTCTTTTTAGACCCCTCCGATTCATTAGGAGTTATAACTTCGCCCAACGAAATGCTTCGCGTTCCTGATATTATTTGCCTCTTCAGCCGTGTCCCATCTGCCCTCGACGCTTCTCGCTCGACATAATTAACCGTTTCTGGGTGTCCACTCGACTCAGGTATATATATATCGCGCGCGTCGAGATATAAAATACGTTCGAAAATATATTCGTCGAAATGTAAACGTGTAGTATAAAACTGCGAGACGCATTTGGAGTTTCGAAAGTACGCACTTTGTACACAGAGGGAATTTTCGCGGAAAATTTATCCTGAAAATATCGTAATCGTGGGGACAGCGCGGCATTTCAAAGAATTTTACGGGAGTTTTTTGAAATTTTACCATGCGTTTCACTAATTATTACACTTCGTATACATTTCACTAATAAAATCTACCCTAGTAGCACAGTGCATTGGGTAAACATTGGCTAAATATTGGTCCAATGTTGGCTATATTAGAAATACATTGGCAATCTAGTGGCAGCACCGAACTTTATAAGCGCGCCTGGCCAAATAATATAATTATTTAATTGAAAGACATTACTTCAAATAATATTGTCTTTTCCATCAAATAATAGAGATTGTTTGAATGAAACAACAAAATTTGTATTCAAACAAATAATGTTTCGTACAAGCGTATGGTGTTTCAATGAAACAAATTTCAATCAAATAAATAGGAATTCAAAATCCAAAGAAACCTTTTTCTCTGCGTAGATTTACATTATTTCCCAATAGTGCGCCAATAGTGCTATTAGAGTATGGAAAACTTTTAAAAACTTTCAGAAAGTTGTTCAAAATGCTCACAAATCACATGATTTTCAGGATAAATTTTAAGAAAAATTTTCTCCGCGTACATACGAACTTGTACAAAATTATAATGTAGCCCGCCTAGAGTGAAGGGAGGTCCAGGTTGAAAAACATTACCTGGCTGAGGTAATGTTTTTCGCAATAAATTTTCTGTATTGTCAAAAATGCCAGATATGGTCAAGAAAACACCGACGTTGAAAATCATAATAATTATAAGTCGTGATAAATTTTGCACGTAACGTGCATGTATGAAAAAAATAGCCGATATCTCTGACGATCTGAGTAAAGCTCGTCGGATCGGATATTCGTTTCCCGATACTTTTTTGTGCGGTGTCTCGCGACGGAGGATCGATCTAGGGATTCCGCGACGCGTTCTGGTACGCGGAGCAAATGCGAGCGCGTGTGTTGTCGCGACGGATCTCTTCCGGACCTCCCATCGTCCGGTCTAACGAGACCACCGGAGGTACGACGGCTGAAAACCGCGCGCAAAAACTGACCAAAGTACGGTCTTTATACGGCTCGTTTTATATCGCGGCCGATTCGCCGAGCGACGCGCTCCAATTACGGACGAATATATACGTCGCTCCTACCGAACGTATATATTGCCCCCGCGACCCTATCGCCGCTTTATATGGCGAGAGGAGGTAGAGAAGGACACGCTGTATGTCTCGGTTGCGTTGAGTCCAACGCGAATTTACTGTTTGCCCACTAATGTTGCTTATTGTAAAGCCAACGGTACACGATACTATTTTTCCTACCAGATTACTCACGAGAGCCGATCAGGATTCAGCTTTGAGTCACCTGATCGAAAACTCTGCATCGTGATTGGCTCTCGTAAGCAATCCAGTAGGAAAAATGGTATCGTGTGCTTTAGCCTCAAGTCACCTGATCTAAAAGTCTGCATCCTTATTGGTTCTCGTAAGCGATCCAGTAGGAAAAATAGTGTGCCGTTGGCTTTAAACTGATTCCTTTGCGGTACAATTTTAAGGACTCGTCACTGAGAAAACGTGAGATTTCCCGTTTATTCGAAATTCCCTTGTACCGACTCCCATGATTCGGTAATGTACTCTTGTCGCGTTAATTAAACCATTCCTGGTACTATCGATGTTATACCGTACTTACGAATCAAGAGTTGCAGCTCTAAGACGCTCGGTTCGTCTCGTCGGCATTTACAGATCGAGCCCCTCGAAGGCAAAGACCTCTCGATGTTTCGCGCGGAAGAAGTCCTGTTTACGTTCGCCGGAGAACAAAGTGGCTCGCGGTGACGCGCAAGAAATACAAACACGTTCCATATTATTATTTTCGCGCGATATACAGACGCCTCCTTCAATGTAACTACGTCTGCCACCTTTACGCTGTTATTCCGCGAGAAAATTGTATCTTTCCAAAGAGAAATTCAAGCTTGCGCGTTAATTAATACAACATTCTGGATCAAAGTTGCCACTTCTGTCCTGTGTTTTTCTAAGAAGAAAAGGGACATGAAAATTCAAAGCGACCCGTTCTTCTTCGCCC